GAGAGAGTGTGTGTGTGTGTGTGTGAGAGTGAGTGAGTGTGTGTGTGTGATCTGAGCTGGTCCTGCGTGAGCTGAATGAAGAATCAGCGCTCGACTGCTCAAACAGGAAGATGCCACTATATGAGAATGTGAGTTGGCAGAAGGTGGACTAGATCTGTTGGGGGAAAGGCTGGTTACTAGGGTGTTCCTATTCAGTTGCTCAAGTGTTCTGAGCGGTTGTTGTGTGGCTCTAAATCTTAACTATTGAAGAAGCTCTCTACTGATTCATCTATTGTGACATGTTTCACTGTTTGACACGTTTCATATTGATCACAGCATCATGACTGCAGGAGAATAAATCAAAGAATTAAAAATCACAAACGTGATCACTTTAAAATCTCAAATGTTTCTCAAGACTCAAATGAAGACTGCTGCTGCTTGGATGTTTTTCTAGAAGACTCCAGTAATCTCATGCGTTTGCAATCAAAAAGCTTGAGATCTCGATATGACTTCATATATTTCGCATTAAAAGTGCGGTATGTAATACTGACAGCTAGTGGTTGAAATGGGTCCTGCAGTTCAAACTCATTAAGACTTGATGCTCATGCGGGTTGCCAGATTGAGGACACCAGCCATACACTGTAAACTGATGAGTTCGTTTATCTACGTTTTAATATTCCTCTGCTCAGAGCTCTTTCAGATGGATGCCGAGGCTTTTTAGGTCGGGTAGAATCTGCGATCTCTGACCCAGTTCGTTCGCTACAGTACATTTTGTTTTCCACCAACTGGCAACCCGGAGTGTAGAAATCCTATTGGCTGAACTGGCAGTGGGCGGAGTCACACAGACCAAAACAAAAACAGACATTACGACACATTTCAAAGCAGAATAACTGGCTGTAGTGCTGTTTTTCAGATAAACAAGTATGTGAACGTAGCATGTTATCTGCAAACATTAAGGTATTTTTATGCTTTAGTACGGTCAAAAAATTATATACAACCGCTTTAAATGACCTGAACTGCTCGTCACAACACATCTCTACAGCACGAGACGTTCATATTACAAAAGGCCAAACTCATGCTGATATCGGTTCCACACGAGCGTTCAGCCTGCATCTGAGAGCGGGAAACACTGTGAGATCAAATCTGTTACTAATGAGTCACGGCCATAATTAGAGCACACAGGACGAATCGGCTGAAAGGTTGCTATGACATCTACATTCTAGAGACATTTAGAGAAATTCCACAATTCTCAATACCACAGCAGAATACTAGGGCAACTAATATTAGTGGGGGAAAAAAAAGGCAATTATTAAAAATAATTAAACGATTAGTAATAAAAAAATTAATAAAAAAGGCAAAGGACAAATACTATAGAGAAAAGATGCAAATGAAACAAACAGTGCAAGTCTAAAGTATTCAACAGCCTATTACAGACATTGAATATTTTAATGTAAAATAAAACAGCATAGTCTTCACTGTAAGAATTAAACTTGCTTTGTTTCTTATTAATGCTACAAAAGTCCTTCAGTCAAGAGCAGCGAGTAATTTTGTTGTTTGATTAATATTAATCACACAGTCAGCAGCAGGAATATTAGGCTGCTGTCACTTTAAGAGCCGCATGGATCCAGCACGTGTTTTCATTCTCAACGGTTTACGTTCATATATTGCATAACAGACGAGAGTTTATGTGATTAATAATCACCAAACGCCGCATTTTGACACATTTTTGCGTGTATAAAAGCATCGGAATCCTTTGATGTCTTTGTTGGTGATGATAGTGGTGCTTAACAGAGTTAACATGTTTTACTATGGTATTTAGGTAGAACCTATGGTGATCATGGTACATTTTTAGAAATTATACAGTATTTACAATTAAATAAATGTAAGAAGCTGCGTTAATGACAGCCACAGACAGTATTTATGATGCTGTGAATTCAGAAATGCTGAACTCAACATCACTTTATCAGAGATTCTCAAACAAAGAGCAAATATTTATTGAGATTTTAAGTTAATATTTCAAGAATTTAACAACACATTCACATGACATGCAGCTAAACAATTAAAACATTAAATTTTTTTGTAAGCGTTTTATTTTGATTTGTTTTTATTTTTACATTATTTATTTTAAAATTACTTAAATTTTTAAATTTTTATGATTTAATTAAACTTAAGCAAGTGTTTTATTTTGATTGTTTTCATTTTAATTGATCTACTTTTATGATTTCATGATTTTTACGAAACCCTGACCTAACACAGCATTACACAATGAAACCCACACAGAACTGCAATTAAAAATACAATATTTCATATTTTGTAGTTCTACCATAAAAACACACTGTAGAAAATCCTGGCACATGTTCAGTATCCTGATATATAAACATGCTAAACAAAGAGATTGTAGCAGAACACAATTGTAGTTGTGTGAATGACTTGGTCTGAGGATCTGGTTTAGATCTGGTCTGTGAGTCCTTGAGACGGTCTGCTCTGTGTCTTTGTCTCTCTGCAGAGGACACGCCGACGGCTCTCAGCCAATCAGCTGCTCCGAAACAGCCGTGTGACATGAAGAGCCTCCTGCACATCCGTACACAGCTGAGAGCGACGAGCAGCCGCTCACACATCAGCATCACCTGAGCTCTCTTTCCTCTGATCTAGAACTCAACCAGCAGAACACAGGCGGGGCAATCAAACCCCCCGCTGCATTATTCATGAGCCCAGCAGCCCCGCCCACAGCCGAACAAGCATTCATGAGCTGACAGGAAAAAACTCCATTTCTTACGTGTTCTAGGGCTGGGCGGTATATCGAGTTTGTACGATATATCGATATTTTCTTTATAAGCGATACGATACGAGGCAATACGGTATATAGAGTAGTTTGATACGAGCGCTTCTGAAAATATAGCGGAGGACACAGACTGAGCAGTGCATAATCCAGTTTATTCTAAACATG